GAATTAATTTTATATATAGTAACAATGTTATGCAATGTATGTACTAATGTGGCAATGGTATAGATCTACTTACACTTCTGATGCTTTTGGGATCACAGCCCTATTTGAACAAGCAAAGTATCGATACTTAAGGATTGATCCGCCCATCCCTACTGTGCTGCACTCACACATGGCCTTCCATTCAGCAGGCAGCTGCTGATCAGTGCACACATTTATTGGGGTCAGATGAGGCTGTTTTGGAAGGACAACTCCGTGAAAGTGATACACTGAACCCGAGACTCGTTTAAGGTAAGCTGTTTAGTGAATAATCCAAACATTACTGCTTGGTAACATTACTGCGTGTAATAAAGTGTCTGTGAATGTTTTTTATTGCTAATGGCTAGTTATTATATACTTGCTGACATGTGTTGATTGTACAGGTAAAGTCATGGCAGGCAACAGAGGTCGCGGAAGGAGCCAGTTTACCTTCAATGTGGACACACTCGGATTCGGGAGGGGTGATTCTTTACCCACATCTGCACATACACCTTCTCCTCTTTTTCCTGTAAGTGTTTAACGACAAATCGAGTGTCTTTACATCGTAATATAACATCAGTTGTTGTTATTACACATATATTGTGCTATAAATGTCTAATTATTGGTTTGGGAAAAGTGATTGTTCTGAGAAAAGCTTTTGTTTGAGATTTTGATTCTAATGCAGTGTTTTAAAGTGTGGTTTAACAGTCCAAAACAAAAGCATTTGGGGGTTTGTATGTAACATTTGTTTTTATTTTATTTTGTTTTTTTTGTATTTATTTATTTTTAAAGAAAATGGTGTATGCTGCTTTAGTCATTTTTTTAGTTTGACAGTAAAAATGTAATTATTTAATATATTTGTATTTTTAATGTAATTATTTTATATTTTAATATTAATATTTTATATGTATACTATTTTTTTCTTTCAGCCTATGCTATTTAGGCCATTGACCTGTATGACTTTCTTTCTTTCTTTCTTTTAAATACAAAAGGACATATTTGATATTTGCTGCTTTTGTTCTTTTTTTGAATTTGGCAGTAATAAGTAATTTATTGTCTATTTTTAAAAATGATTTTATTATTTTTATTCATTATTTTTATATTAATTTAAAATATTTAATTTTCATTAACCTGTGTGACTGACTGACTGACTTACTTTCTTTCTTTAAAAAATAATGTTATTTTTTTAATTTATATTATTGTTCATTCAGCCTATGCAGTTTAGGCCAGTGCCTCTGCATACAGGAGAAGAGGTGGACTACATGCTCGCTCTTAAGCAGGAGCTGAGAGCCTCCAGCAAGAACCTGCCGTTCCACATAAAAGCAGCCAGAACAAAGACAGGTAAGACGGGTGGCGGCAACATGTGGGCGATACATTGGTGTATAAAGAGTGGCCAATTCTGAGCACAAAGGATGAAGATCCAGCATGACTTGGAGAAGGAGGTCCTGCAGTCTCTGGATTTGCATTTGAACTGTGGGCAGTCACTGAGAGATATTCAAAGCCAACGACCCATCAGTTGAAGATCAGGTTTGAACGGCTCTCTTTGTTGTTTTCTTTTTTAGATGTGGCGCGTTACTCTGATAAATATCAAAATGGAGAGCCGAAGTACAACTGCATTGAATGGAGTCCAGGTGAGACACTACAGATGATAAAACAGAGGAAACCTTCAATCTGAAATCAACCGCGTTCAAATGGATGCTTTTTGTGCACTAAAATCTGTTTAAATCGATGAAATCCAACGAATGGTATCTGACACAGTTAAAAGGTTTGGAGTC